GTGTGTGTGTGTGTGTGTGTGTGTGTGTGTGTGTGTATGGGTCATGACAACCTACTATATGCATAGAACTGTGCTAGTACAAATGCTAAAAAAAAAAAGAGACATAGTCTTATAAGCCTAGTATAAGGGCTATGCCATATACTCTATTCAGTGGATAGAGAAATGGACTTGTAGTCAAGAAGACACGAGTTCAAATTCTTCCTCAGATACTTAACTGTGTGACTCTGATGAAGTCACTTTACCTCTCTCTCTATTTTCTCATCTGTAAAATGGGGATAATAATAGTACCTACTACCAAATGAGATAACATATGCAACTGTTTTACAAACTTTAAAGGGCTGTATAATGCTAGATCTTATTTAATCCTTGTATAGCAACCACCTAGCAATTGTAGAATATATAATAGGAACACAAGAAAGGTACAAAATGCTAGGTAGATTCTGCCATAAAAATCCCCAAGCAACTTGTACTCCAAGGGATGAGTGAGACTTATCAGAAGCAGTTGGAGCATTAGTTGTCCCTTGATAACAATAAGAGTAAGTAGAAGGTGGAGCAGCTAAGATACAGGATTTGGGTGCTTCAATATTCTGTGTGTGCTTTTGCGTCCCTTTCCTCTGTCTTTGGAGGCCAGCTAATCAACAAGTATTTATTGAACACCTATTATGTACTTGGTACTGTCTGGGATGTAACAAAAATGTGAAGAGCTTTAAGAAAAGAGTAGGCAATCGTGTCCTGGTGTACTGGAAAGTGCGAGAAGGTGGAAAATGCCAACCCCACTTGAGATTGCTGAAGGAAAAGAATCTGAGAAGAAGCTGACATGAAAGGAGCAAGTCTCTATCATGTCCTCATCCCTAGCTTTCTACATCAGAGACTTTGGGGAACTTCCCCTTGGGTGAAATCTAGGATTCTATCTTTTGGTTGAGTTGAGTTACCTTGTTTCCAATAGGAGAGATCCTTCATTATATACCTCTGGTATTATTCTCCTATGTATACTTTGTTCTGATTTCTGGTTTGCTATGATTCAGATAAATGTGTTTGTTAGTTGAAAAAAGAAAAAGAAAAAAAAAGAAAGTGCATGGAACTTGGAGTCAGAAGATCTGGCTCTAACCCCATCTCTTCTACTTAATTGTTGTAGAATTTTGGACCTCTCAGTTTCCTCATCTACAAAATGGGAACAATAATACAAATACCTCCTTTGCAGGTTTGTGATGAGGATCAAAAATGAACGCATGCTTTTTACAGTGATTATTTTAGTCTTTGCATTTGTTTTCTTGATGTTGGGGTAGTCAGCTCTTTAATTCCCTTCTGAGGCGGCCTTTGAATTCACGAATTAACTCCTGTTTTGTGTATCCTATATATGTGTTTTGTCTCCTGTTAGACCTATATATGTCCATGTTGTCTCCCTTTTTAAGGAAAATAACCTCCTTGAGAGCAGGGACTGTTTTGATTTTCTCATTGCATCTCTGGCTCCAAGTATAATGCCTGGCACATAGTAGCTGCTTAATGAATGATTGCTCACTTGATCTCAGTATAGAGGTGCTTTTTTGATATTGCACACAGACACATCTGTGGTCTGCAGTGAATGAATGTATCTGCTTAGGTTTCCTTTTCTAGCAATATTTCAGAGTCATCACTTATCTGGAGCAGTTGTCATGCTTGGTGCCTTGCTAGAGTGCTGTTTCTAGCTTAACTTGGTGCAATCTCAGCCAAGCAATAGAATGAGGGTAAAACAGGTGGGAAAGAGGAGTAAAGAATCTGGCTCATTATAGTCTAATTGGCAATGAGTCATTTGTTTGGAAAAAAAAAGTATAATGAAAGAGACCAATTATTTAAAGCTATTGTTGGTGGTGGTGTTTTTGTTCAGTCCTTCAGTTGTGTTGGAATCTTCATGACCCCATGGACCATGGCGTGTCTGGCCCTTCTATACCTCACTATCTCTTGGAGTCTGTCCAAGTTCATGTTCATTGTTTCCGTGACACTCTCTATCCATCTCATTCTCTGCCATCCACTTTTCCTTTTGCCTTCGATCTTTCCCAACACCAGGGTCTTTTCTAATGAGTTCCATCTTCTCATTATTTGGCCAAAGTATTTAAGCTTTGGCTTCAGTATTTGACCTTCCAGTGAACATCCTGAATTAATTTCTTTAAATATTGACTGATTTGAGCTCCTTGCTATCCAGGGGACTCTCAAAAGTCTTCTCCAGCACCACAATTTGAAAGCATTGGTTGTACGGTGCTCAGCTTTCTTTATGGCCCAACTCTCACAGCCATACATTGCTTCTGGAAAAGGATAGTGTACCAGGTGCTAACCATCTTCTGACTTGAATTTGATATGACCTGATAACCATCAAAGAATTATTCTGTGCTTAAATGTATTTCTTGCTAAGCTAAGTCATTCTGTGGCAGTAAGAGGACTATGTTTTTGTTTTTTTTTTTCAGCACCTGTGGCTTGAAATATTGTAAATCAAAGGCTGCAATCCATAGAGAGGGCCAAACTATATATCACATTTTGGCAACTCAGTCGTAAGAAGTAAAACTGAAATGGCTTTTTCCAGAATATGTAATCATGCATCTTTAACACAATTTTCTAGTTACAGAAAAGGAAAAAAATGATTTTCTTTACACAAAAGAGAATTTATATCTTATGAGTAATAGCTAATGCTATTAATGATTGTCAATAGCACTCCCATCTGATAATTAACTTTCAGCTCTGCTGAATTTATTGTTTTGAAATCCACTCAGGGAAAATATCTTTAGAATCTCCTTGAAACAGCAATATTGAGATATACTGAGTAAGGAATTGTAATAATAATGAGCCTAAGAAATTTCCTATCAGCAAAACAATAAAGTGGCTGGGAATGAATAGAAGATGAAATAAAGCCTAAGCAATTGACACAATGATATTTATCAAAATGGATTTTTCCAGGGCTTGGATATTAATTATGTCTCAGAGTGGCATGGTTAGTCTTTCACACTTCTGAGTCTTCACTCATTTTGTTGCTCTGCTGTCTTGGGCCTACTTCTTCATTTCAAATACTACACTTGCTTCTAGGTCTTACTCAACAATCGAAATCATTCTAATAACTCATTAATTGGCCACTTTAACATTTACAGAGTGCTTACCTCATAACAGCCCTGTGTGGTTGGTTGGAGTTAGGAATACCTGAATCTAAATCCACCTCTGACACATACTGACTGGCTTTGGGCAAGTCACCCAAGCTCTTAGTGTTCCGGGTAACTCTCTAAAATACTAAATTGCAAATATATTGCTGAACTACATGGAATGAATTTCTTCACTATGAGTTCCCCAATTAAATTAAATCACAGGTCTAGCTATTTCCTCCAACCCCCAAGCTATTAAAGAATAATTGAAATTTAATATTATAAAATAGTCTGTCATAGGTTACATGTATATCATACTTTATGTTGACAAAGCAGTTTTCATAAATTATCTTATTTGCAGGAAGCTTTTTCCATACCGTCCCCTGCTGGTACTTTCCTTTCTAAGATTACTTTCCATCTATGTTGCTTCTGGGACAGCTAGGTAGTGCCATAGATAGAGTACCAGGCCTGGAATTAGGAAAACTCATCTTCCTGAGTTCAAATTTGGTCTCAGACACTTACTAGTTATGTGACCCTGGGCAAGTCACTTAACCCTATTTGCCCCAGTTCCTCATCTGTAAAATGAGCTGGAGAAGGAAATGGCAAACCTCTCCAGTATCTTTACCAAGAAAACTCCAAATGGGGTCATGAAGGGTCAAATATGACCGAAATGACTAAACAACAAAAAAAAAAAGCAAGGATGAGGGCCTGCATGGGACTGAGCTGAATATGAGAAGAAGGCAAGAATTGTCTCACTTTTAACACCTAGAACAGACTAGCACATAGTAGAAGATTAACGAATGATTGTTTGATTGAAAAGTTCAATTAGGATTTAGAAAATGGAGAGTTAAAGTAAGCATTTGTTGGTGTGTCACTAATACTGTCTAAAGAACAGTATGGTTTGACCAGTAGACATGATCATTTTGACCTTTCTGTCCAATTTGGTCTGGATCTATTACAGATAAAGGTGTCAGACATGCTGCCCTTGGGTCCCATGCAGCCCATAACATTCTGCTGTAGCCAGAACCAGATTAAAATGTAATTGGGAAATATTTAGCAACATAAATAAAATATGATAAAATATAGATAATCTTAATATGTGGTTTTCCAAGTAAATATGTGGCCTACAGGGATTCTTATGCATGGCTAAGTGGATCTCAGATTTCTGTTTGAATTTGATACCACTGATTATAACTGTCATATGGAGGATAGGGTCAGGGTTTTTCCATAAGAAGTTTTGGATTTTATGAATACTTTGAGATCATAAAAGAAAAAAAACCCTGCTATGTAGGAATCCATAAGAATAAAAAAATACACTTTCTAATGTCACCTTATTTTAAAAATTTACAGTTTAGAAGAAGCCCTCAATAATGTTATTTGACTCTCAGCCTTATGAGGCAGGAATGGCAGGATATTCTATTTTATAGATGAGAAAACTGAGTTTATATGACTTGTCTAAGAACCAGGGCAAAAATCCAAGTCTTTTGACTCAGGTTTATTGCTTTTGCTATACCATGCATAATGTGCTACACTATGATTTTGGGGGGAATATCATTGCTTTTTATCTTTTTTTTCTTCTCACTCACTCATCACTCTTGTCTTAACAAATGTGTGGTTGTGGGGAAGATGCAGAGGCAGGGAAAGTCAATACACACAAAGGTTGTATGCATATTATATATATATATATATATGAGAAGATCTGCATATATGTACATGAGGATATATGTGTATATATATATTTGTGAGGTAAATCGAAAGATCTATATGTGTATTCACATGAGATAGTATGTGAATGTATGTGTGTATATGTATTAGACATACATACACGCATGCATGTAGATATACAAATGACTATTCTATTATATTGTGTTTAACTAAGTCTTGAATGATCCATTGCAGGTATTGTGTCTCTGATTTCCCTGGCCATCCTATCTTACGAGCGCTATAGGACCCTCACCCTATGCCCCAGACAAGGGGCAGACTATCAGAAGGCACTACTGGCTGTTGCTGGCTCATGGATGTATTCTTTGGTCTGGACTGTACCACCTCTGATTGGCTGGAGCAGTTATGGAACTGAGGGAGCAGGGACAAGCTGTTCAGTGCACTGGACCTCGAAGTCTGTCGAATCTGTGTCATACATCATGTGTCTCTTCATCTTCTGCCTGGTCATCCCCATCCTGATTATGTTCTACTTCTATGGACGACTTCTATATACAGTCAAGCAGGTGAGTCATCCTTCATTTCAACCTCTTTGAAATGAAAGAGATGCTTTCATTCTTGTTTGTGACAGTTGCCATTATAGCTTAATACTTTTGTTATACACAACCTTAAATACCAACAAAGTCAATTAACCATATGTTTAAAGCTATTTATGTTTTAAAATTAATTTCTATGTATATTTTGTCCATGAGACCATATTAATTATCCTATCTTTATCATCTTCTTTTCTGTTTCTATCCATGTAGTTTTGCTTAAATTTTTCATTTTTTATAATTGTTGAATATAAAGACTGTTCTAGATCTACTTTCTTTGTTTCACAATAATTCGTCTGTCTATCCAAATTCCTTTACATTCCTCATGCTTAGAATTAATGACATAGTTATAATTCACAACTTTGATATCAAATAATTTAATCAGTGATTTGCCCATTTTGTATATTTAATTTTTTTTTAGTTCTTTTCAATTACAGATAATGTTGCTGCATGCATTCTTTTGAAGAGCTGTCTCTATTTTTTTCTTGAACATTGAGGGCACATTCCTAATAATAGGATTAGGGAAATCAAAGAGTATGATTATTTTTGTGACTCCTTGTGTGACAGATTGCCCTCCAAAAAATTGTCCACTTGCAGTGTATGAATGTATTTGTTTCTCTACAACCATTCCAGCATTGCATTTTTGTCATTTTTTGTTATTTCTTGGTTGGTTTATCAAACACTCTCTCTCTGTCTCCATCTCTGTCTCTGCCTCTCTCTGTCTCTGTCTCTGTCTCTCTCTTTGGTTCTCTGTCTGTCTCTCTCTGGTTCTCTGTCTCTGTCTTCTTCTCCTTCTCCTTCTTTTTCTTCTTCTTCTCCTCCTCCCTCCCTCCCTCCCTCCCTCTCTCTCTCTCTCTCTCTCTCTCTCTCTCTCTCTCTCTCTCTCTCTCTCTCTCTCTATCTCTCCCTCCAGACCTTTTGGAGAGTGACTATTAATTTCTTGACCCTGCGTAAAGGAGGTTCATGTTAGTTTGGCCTCTGTCATCCAGTGACTCCTAAAAGTTAAACAACTGTTTCTCTTCTTTTTCATATTTCTACCTGATTCCCCAAATAGGTGGGAAGTGAGGTGGGGAGTGAAGGTGCTCAGAGAGAATACAAAGTCATCCTGAATAATACGAACATAAGGGGAGCTGAGTATTCACTAGGGGCAGGTACCTTGGACCTCTTTCCCACTATAGCCTGAAATTTGATGTGAGGCCAATGGCAGTGGTTGATCTGGAGGTGAAGTTCTGAACCTGTGATTTATTTGGTATAGAAAACTCCTAGTATGACAACTCCCCCCATTGAGGTAGATTATCAACTCATTTGCCTAAGGAACTTTCCCATGATTATATAACTAGCAAGTTTCAGATGTGGAACTTGAACCCAGGTCTGATTGGCTTTAAGCAGTTCAAAAGTTTTGGTAGTCTATTCTAATAATTATTATAAGTTAGTATAAAGCTAGACAAAAGAACAATAATGAAGGAAAATATTACATGTAGCTGAAACAATTCATTCCTAAACTTCTTAAACTGGTTACTGGTAATGAAAAATGGGCAGTGGATATTTAGAAATAATGGTTCTGATTATAATAATTTTGTATAGATGTATAAAAGATTGAAAGTGAAGTCATCCTAAAGACATTTAAATGATGAAAATGGAAGAACAATAAATAAAAGAAAACTGGAAAAAATCTGCAAAGGTTTTTATAACTATTTTCATTATCAGTAATAGTAGGAACACACCACTTAGACTCTAATATCATGACCCTAGAAGTACTCTAGAAGAGGCACAAAGGTCATTGAATAGAATAAAGATAGAAAAAGCAGCAAAACCAGACCAAAAGTACATAAAGAAGATCCATGTTACAAGTTACATAATTGTGCATGCTTTGAGTTATCAATTCACAGGTCATCTGAAGGAGGAGAGGCGTGGGAAAAATTTCAGATTTCATTGTTACTGAAAAAAGGGTGATTGATAAGATTGATAACTACTGACCAATATACCAAATTTCCCATCTTTACCAAACTTTTATTAGAATTGTCTAATCAGGGGCGTCCTTAATGATGGTACTACTCAGACTTTTACAAGCAATGTTCTTCAATGAGCCATATCTTTATTATCTGGACAGAGAGAGACAGAGAGACAGACAGACAGAGAGAGAGAGAGAGAGAGAGAGAGAGAGAGATCAAAACATATAGATAAAATAAGATCCCATTCTGCTTGTTGTTGATAATTTTTTAAAAAAATTGATTCATTAGAGTAAAATAGAACCTTAAAGTCAGTGAGTCAATATGCATTTATTAAACTTCTTCTGTGTGCCAGGTAGTGTGCTAAGTGTTCTCTCTTCCAACAAGATATGTCATATACATAGATCAAACTCATTCAAGAGTCCTGAAAGATATAACAATGGCTCTCTGGTTATAAACATTATGAGGCATAAAAGAGCAAGATGTATACTCACTAAAGATGTTTGCCACTAGGATGGAGGAGATCTAGCATAGGGTTTAGATTGATATGTAGCCATCTCTTTGGATGGCCAGGTGGTCCTCTACATTCTCTTATTTGAGGATTGCATAGTGCTGAATGCACCAACTTCTGGAAAATTTCAGCTCTTACTGGAAGAGATCTGAAACCTCCTATGACTTTGGCCTGACTATCTACATCTTTTGATGAAGTAGAGGAAAGATAATGATTGCCTAGATTATGACTTGCAGTTGGACAGACCATATATAGAGTTTATCCATCACTATTGCACTGTTTCATCGGGGTTAATTAGATGAGAGGTCCACTCTATCATTCCCCGCCATTTTAAAATATGTAATGGCTGCTTCTTCTTCATTATCCATTATAAATTAAAGTCACCAGAAATTACTTATTTCTACAAAAGTCCATTTTATGAAGCCTCTTTATTTTTTCAGATGCTTAATGATCTCTTAAGAGAATAGAACTTTACAGTAATAGGACTTCATCAGCAGACTACTCCATTGCTCCTTCGGGATGCAAAATTTCCCTGAAATGGAAATGTAGCTGAAAAAATTATAGATTATCCATTCATTATTTAGTTAAGAATTAAGCCCTCCTGTGCTTCTTACAACAAATGATCTCAATAAAAATTAGTCTCATGTACCACTGTTAGAAACTATTGTTTCATAGGCAGTGGGCAGGCATGCAGATAATCTGAGAGGTGGTTATTATATGGTATTCTTTTTGTTGCCTTCTGGGAAACCATGGGCAGTTCAGCTTATTTAATGTTTCTGGCTTACTGGACTTTAATTAGAGCATAACCAATACATTTCTACTGTGAACTAGGATGTACTCATTGGGTGGTGGTTAGTGATAAATACAAGCTGTGAAAAGTTAAATAATTTTAAATCTTTTATAAGCAATGTCAAGTTTAAAATAGGGATTCATTTTTCATTATTCTTCTCTCTGAAGCATCCAGTTATTATAACTATGCCTTCAACTATGTTTCCTGTTATTTGTTTTTAAGCCAAGCCCTGCCACCACCTTATCAAATAAAAATAGAAACTTTGGCAGAGAAAATGAGAACTTTATTAGTGTTAATGGTGGTTTTTCTTATTGTCTCTGAGAAACAAAATCAGAAGGTAGTCAGTGTTTGAAATACACTAGAACTAAGAAGCAAAAGCTGTCCTCTTGACTTTCAGATAAGACTCCTTGTCACCAATTGTACCAGATCCATGATGAGGTTTTTTTTTCTTCATAAATCTGTCAGCTGAAGATTTGTCTTGGTTCATATCATTTCCATTACCTCTATTCCACATTGTCTGATTTCTTAGCATTCTACATCTGTTTATGATACATAGTCCAGATGGTGTAGAATATAATTTATCTCTTCCTCCAATGCCCTGGTAAACAGGCAGGCAGCTTTACATAAGGCCGCCAAGAGGAGGGGATTTATTCCATCATTGTGTTTCTTTAGCCTGTATTAAAAGCCCAAATTTTCAAGCATAGCATGTGCTCCTACATCAGTGATGATAGATGTATGTAATTATGTGTATGTGTGTTTTCAAATTAAACCCTCATTAGCTGATCATTTCAAGAACAAACAAAACATTCCGTCAGCTATTTTTAGAATCCAGACATCTGATGACTGGTGTTTCATCATAATTGCCTTACCTAATGGAAAAAGATAAAACACAGAGGTGGATTTGCTACAGGGGAACAGAAGGTAAGGAGCCTGAATTCCCACTTAATGTACACCTGCTGCTTTATTTGAGCTTTCTGATTGAGAGTAGTTTACAACAAATATTAAAAGAAGTATTGTATAAGGTGGAGTCAAGATGGCAGAGAAAAGGTAGTGACTCACCTGAGCTCTCCCCCAAACCTCTCTGAACACCTTTCAATAATGCCATAAAACAATTCCTAGAGTGGCAGAACCCACAAAAGGACAATGTGAAATAAATTTCCAGCCAAAGACAACTTAGAAGTTTTGCGGGAAAAGTCTGTTGCACCTGGGTGAGAGCAGAGCACAATTCAGTGCAGGCCATACCAGATCAGACCAGGCCCCAGCAAACCACAAGCAGACCTTGGGGGCCACTGAATCAGTGTCAGCAGTTGCTTCCAGCGCTCTCAGCCCTCAGAGAGTAAGGAAGTTGAACAACTGGTCAGAAGAAGATTACTGGGGTCTCTTTGCTAACACTCAGGGCAGGACTTTATTGCTTTGTCCATACTTCAATTGGGATAACAGTCATGGGTGGCAGTCTCAGGGTGAGGAGGAGCACTAGCACACCAAAGCTTAAGGACACAGTGGAGTGAAGACCCTCATTACAAGTCCAGGGCCAAAAGGAGTGCTTATGGTCACTCACAGACCAGAGCATAGGCCAGGAGAATAGTAAACACATCTCTCCCTAGATCATACTACTTTGGAAGAACTAAAAACTTCTTACAGCTCCTTAGAAGTATCTCTGAAAACAGCAGCACAAAATCCCCGAAGCCTTGAGACAGCACATCCTCTACCCTGGAAGCAGAGC